AAGTACAATTGCGGGTTTTTGCGCGTAGATTTTTAAAGGCTAAGACGCATTTTTAAGACTTTATTGAAATGAATTTATTCAATTCTTTTATTCAAATTTCTTATGTATAGAGTGCAGTATAGGCTGTAATTAAACTCAAGGGCGTTACACCATGCACAAAAGATTGATAACCAAACATGAACTATTACTATGGTTAGAAAAGTACCAAATGTATGTTTAAGTGATAAAATTAAAGCCAGATTAAATTCATTCCTTGTCCGTTTCCTATTTTCTTAACTGCGAATTGTCCAGGAACCCTCAGGAGTTATTAACAACCACTTTATTCTCAGACAGAATTAAGATGACTTAAGTTCTAATCGTTTATTCTGGATAACCTTTCTTCTAGAATTTAACTGCTCAAAAACTCAGGAATCACGGCCTTGTAAATGTAAGTGGTTTTATGCATGGGGAGAAATGAAAGGACTCAAGTGCTGATCGAAATACTCTCTTCACCCATCCCCCTCCTTTATTTCTTTGCAGTTAAATGAGAAAAAGAAGAAGAAGAAGAAGAAAGGAAAAAATGGGCGCGTTGAATTAAGAAAAAACATTTAATAATTTTTTTTGCAGGACTTTCATTTTTTCCGATTAGATGTTAGATTTACATTCTTTCAGGCAAAAGAAGGCCAATTTTTCTAAAGTCAGAGAAAGGAAAGATCATTACATTTTCTCGTAAAATAGGCGACGTTTTAGCGATCGAGCGCTTTCTGTTTTCTTAATCAAAATAATTATGGCTTTTACAGCAGGGGAGAGCTTGGGAAGGAAAGAAACCAAGATTGTGAGCGATAGTCTCCTGTATCTTCTCTGTACTGGTTATCAAGGGACAATAAAGAACCCACACACCTATTACAAAGAGTAGGGAGCGTAGCTCCCAGTGTTGTGGTCTGGCCTGTCTACTGAAATTGGCGGCATCTGTTAAAGTTAGTCTGTACGAAAAATTTTAACCTGATGTGAGCAGTCTGTTAAGTCCCCCGCAAAACATTATAATGTGCATTTGATCATAATGTTAATTTGCGCAACCTAAATATTGAGTTATTATCATTATTATTAAAGGGGAGAAGAGGGAAGGGGATGGGGCTCAATTTTTACATTCATTTCTTTGTTTCCTTTTCAAAAATAAAAGGTCCTCTTGAAACAACTCTCGGTTCCACAATTCAAATGAGTTTGTATGTGAGGGGTTTTCCTAAGCCAGAGTTAAACTGGACAAAGCATAGAAAGTTACTTGGCAACACAAACATGTTCGCCATTACTGAAGAATCGAGTGAATTATGGATTCGCTGGTCAATACACATGCAGCACTAAAAATAACGAGAAGGAAAGAGAAGCAGCTTTCGGACCAAATGTTACATATTTTAAGCTTTTAGTTCTTTTTTTCAATTTCTGTTTTTATATTTACCTACTTTGAATTGTATCTGTCAATTCTTTGCCCAGATCCTCCTGAAATTAATCCTCATCCCAAGAACCAGTCGCTTTCGTATAATTCATCCCTTCAGTTCCATTGCTTAGTGAGAGGTTGCCCAGTACCTGAGGTACTTTGGACTAAAGATGGGGTGAATATCAGCAACAACAACACTTTCACGATTCGTCAAGCGAGGCTGGAGGACTCTGGCCAATACACATGCAACGCCACAAACAGCTTAGGAAAGAAGACATAAACTCTCTGGATTGAAGTTATTGGAGGTATGGTTCTCATTAACACAGGCGAAAAAAATGCTTAGGTTCATGGTTATTGGTTATAAGTATAGGAAATCGCATGGGGCCGAGCAAAATTAAGGATTAAAGGGACACGGTCGCGGTCTGCGCATGCTCCTGTAGCCGATCGAAACTTGAAAAAGTCATCCTGACTTTTTAAAGTTGCATTCACAAACTCAAAATGGCATCTAGCGGAGGATCCGGACACGGCGGTAAACGCATTAACTCAGGGCGGAAAAGAAAGGTTGAAGACAGAGGGGAATACAAGAAAGTGTGGCTGAGGAACCATAAGCGTATTCATGTGGAAGAAAATACATTTAAGTTGTCGCCGCAGGCAAATTTTGATGCAGGCTATGAGTCATTCAGCAACAGCGATTTTACTGATAGGAAAATAAAATAATGCCAGACATCACCTACAGACATTTGTAGCGTTTGCGAGGCAGATGTTTATTCTACTACACATTATGAATGGAATACAGGTAAGCCTCAGGCGAACTCTATGGCTTTCGTAAATATAGGCAGATGACGACTGCTCATTCGAATCCTGAAGAAAGGGAATACACAAATTATTTCGTATCCTTTTTGGACATTCGAGCCACAAAATAAGTGAATGTATACAACTTTATATGCGCGTATTCAACTTTATATGCATACTCTGTTTTTGCAAGGTTTATTGTTTGTTCCACATTTACATTCATCTGTACACAGCACGTTTCTCCCTTTGCACAGGCACCCACGAGAACTATTTTTTTTGGCGTTTCGTCGTACAAGCACTTTTACATTTACAAAAGATCACCGAAGGTTCCTCAGTAAAATAAATTCACTTTCATGAGCATTTGCTTTGGATAAACTTGATTTAAATGCAAAATATATGCAGAATTCTTCAACCCAGTGATATTTCCATAATGGCCGTCGAGCGTGACAACACTCGGAGAGAGTGTAGGCTATTGTGCATGTCAACCAGTGACAGTGTCCTTTTAATATTACGCGTGCTTTCAGAAGTTGCTGAAATTGTCCGAGTCGCACGGCGACGAGCGCAATTTCAGCAACTTCTGAAAACACAAGTAATACTAATCTTAATTTTACGAGGACCCATTGCGATTACTTGTTAATGAAATACAGGGAAAAATACTGAATTTTGAATGCGCGCTAGGGTAATCAGTCACAGGAAGCCATTTAAAGTTGACAAAGGATCAATCACCACAAACGCGCGAAAAAGCTGAATGAAATTTTATTTTTGCACAAACATACTAGGACATTGAAACCAGGCCTGCTAACAAACTTTCAACTTTGAAAATATAAAGTTAGCGCTTTTTCAAGCAAAGTTAAAGCGAAGTTAATTTTGCCCTCTTCACAAGCAAAATTAAGAAAAAAATACCCTCTTCATTGACCAATCAGCACTTAGTAGTTCTGCCCTCTATGTTACTAGTTAATGCTAATATCTAAAATATGATTTCATGTTAACTGGTATATCAAGCGTAGATTGGTTTCTTTTCTTTAAATAAATGCGATTCATTTTTGAGAAGTTGAAAGAATACATTTTAGGAGCGTCAAAATACGTGACTTCATAGATCTCAAAGTATTATTTTGTGACAGCGTTTCTCGTACAAGTTCCTTTAAGATTTGAATTCATCCTTTCTTTTTCGCTTGTCATCATGGAATATGGTCAACCTCTTTTCGTTTGGTTGTCACATGACTGACCGAGCGTACGTACGTACGTACGTACATGCCCTCTTCTATCATGTATGCTATCACGAAAATAACATATGATCAAACTTGAAAATATGGCGTCCGCGCGGCCGACCCTTAAAGTTTTCAGGTCGGAGTTTTCGTTCATTTGCGATCGAGTTAGACCTTGTGGAACTCAGAATGTAAAGTAACAATGTTATAGAATACACTGCTTTGAAAAGAATGGATATTAAGGTCTTAAAGGTGACAGAATAAGCTTTCGAGTCAACGACACTGCGATTCTCTCAAGCGATGCGAATTATGGACGTAAAGTGTAACCGAACTCTCGGAGATCCAGATGCCACTGAAGCAAATTTGAGTTGGACAGATGCCAAGCAGTCTACGTCGTCGGCGATTAGGTGTGGCTGACGTTAAACTCCCTTGCAATAATAATTTGCGTTTCTTCAGAAATACTGCGGTACACATGATAAAATTTATCGCCTGAACATGCAACAAGATTAGGCAACCGGAGACTGCCAGCAATGTTAGCACCAGATCCATTTTGCATCTGCAAACTCAAAAGATTGCAGGTGGAGTTAATATCCGGATTCGAGAAAAAAAGCGGTTACACGACAAAACTTTCCGGATTCAAAAGTTATCGGATTCAAAGTTCCCACTTGAAATTCCGGATTCAAGATCTCCGGAGACACGACCAAACCGGGAAGTTTTTATTTCGGATTTGTCCACTTTCGTGTAAACGGCAGAATGAATCCGGTACTAAAACGTTTCGGATTCATCACGAATCCGGAACAATTTTCTCTAGTGTAAACCTAGTCTAATACATAATCATATGATTTTTTCGTGCAATTTGGGATAAATAAACACTTGTAAATTTTTTCAAGACCACAAATTGCACTCGCCCTACGGGCTCATGCAATTTTGTTAATATGCACCTATCGCTTTTTTGGTCGGAAATAAGTTCTTTGATTAGTCTTCTTTCACTGGAGCTTGTTTTAGGAAAAGATGATTTTTAGAAATTTACTGCGCATTGTGTTTGCTTTCTTGGTTTCTCCAAAATGTTTACTTTTCACAGGCACGTGTTACACGTAAGTGTCAATGGGTTTAAACTACACTGAAAGAATTTTTGGCTAAAAATTTATAATACATGTAAAGAAATTTCATTGCAAAATTTTCACTTATTGGGAGCTCCGCTTTTGGGCTTGGCTAAATCTATATATTATTCCCTTGTAAATAACAATGAATTCAGGCGTGAGGGGGTTGAAGTTGGTCAAGGTGGCTATCATTACATAACAAACTATATTTCATCAAAATATATCAACTCGGAAAGAGATTCGATAGAACCATCCCGGTAGCTTCTTTGAGTTACATTTACCATTGGGTTTTCTATAGGATGACTCCCGATCACATACATTTGAGACACGCATTAGATATCCCGCCAGTATAGAAAAAAGTTAACTCTCCGGGCAAAACTATGGAAATAAGTATCACCATTGTACATTAACGAACAGTTCTTGTGGTCCCACTTTTGTTAACCGGCCAATTTGGATGTATAAAACGACAGTTTTACTTTGTGTTGTGACGGAATGCTAGCGCTAGCTTTGTATTGTTTTGATCATTTCTTTATTTATAAGCGAAGTAAGTGTATACAATAAAAAAAAAGTTAAGCTGGCAATTTTGGAGCATGGTAGTATACGTTGTTTACTTCACACTAAACAAACAATAAGAAGACAAAAATAAATAGATATACGTATATAAGTTTTTATGCCCCCTATTATCTGAGACAAGACATATCTTAAGAAGGAAAAAAGCTTTGATGTCACAGATGTAAAAATTTGGTTTGATTGAGACCTGTTAGTGCCAAAGTGATGAAATCTATTGCAAAATGAACTTGGATAAAAAAGAGAGTTAAACTTTATTCTTGTTTCACTCAAAAAGGATGGGGTGAGGATCGGCGTTAAAATGGTTGATATGAACCCTTATTGAGTCTGGTTTACTTTTTATTTCAAGTCTCTCCCCAGATCACCGAGCCTCCAATAAACCAGACTGTTACCGAAGGATACTCTGTCAACTTTAGTTGCCGAGCGTCAGGAATACCAACACCAACATTAGTCTGGGTTTTTAATAATAGTTACCTACCATCTGGTATCAATAAAGCCGATCAAGAAGGAGAATCAATCCTGGAATTGCCACGTGTCACAAAAGAGATGATGGGGACTTACATGTGTACAGCAATAAACAAAGAAAATACAACCAGTTCTTCGGCAACGCTGCATGTTTATGGTAAGTGTAATAAATAGAACTTAAGAGCCACTGATCTTAAATATCGAGAATCCGCCGACAGTTGCAAAATTTCGTAACTCATTTAATTTTTTTCTAAAAGACCCTTTTGGTGAACCTTTTTCGAAAATTATATCAAAAAGTTCTATCGCGCTTCGAAATACGCCTAAATGACCGTTTCCCTCCCACC